GCGAACGCAAGGTGCCCTCTATGAAACACCAGGGTAACCATTCCTACAAGCTAGGAACGCAACTACTCCAGCGATGATTAGTCGAACGTGACCAAGTCGTGATGGTTCAGGATGAATTGATATGTTAGGTGCAATCCTCAGTGGCGTCAAAAAATGATAAATAGAACGTCAGCTTGTTACGACGAGCGTTCGGACAAACACAGTGTCCTTTATTAATCTGGTCGAGAGGTAGGAGCAGCTGCACTCAGGTTCTGATGTACATCGTCACGCTAAATTGTTAACTATTCAGCGGCGCAAATTGCTTTGTCGGCAGGGCTTAGATGGGACACAGAGATGCGAGTTTTGTGCCTACGATCGCAGGGCGCACCATACACTCCGGCTGGGAGATGTGAACGTTAGCAAACACCACATCCACAATCGACCTTTGTTCTGTGGATCGCAGGGCAAGACCAACGAAATGAATGTCGTTCGGCTGTGAGATCTGGACGATATAGCTATCGTCTAGTGACGGTACAGCCGCACTGAAGGTATTATGCTTCGATCGATCAGTAGTCGGCCTTCGTGCAGGAGAAAAGGCCAGCAAAGGAGTTCCCTATGAAGTGCATAGTGGGTCTCTGGGCTAGCAACTGAGGAAAACAGCCCGGTCATATGTGATTACCGGTGGGTGGGCGCCGTAATGCTATCACCACAAAGCTGTCATCGTCTCATGACAGGCTTCCAACAAACTCCTACAGATTTTATTAGGCTGCTTTTGCTGCTAAAAGGAATCAGACAACCAGGCGAACATTGTAAGTTTATGGTGTTGTTAGCTTTACCGTTTCTATCCCGTATGTGTTACAACTGAAAACTCACACTTCATTGGTGCATAAAAACGATATATTAACTTGACTTGACGTGGCAATGCTCTTAGCTTTCAATCTGCCCCGACCCAATAGTGGCATCATTAGACAGCACACCAATTTAATCATAAATACAACGATTGTCCTCACAGTCAGACGATTAATAGTTGAACAAATTGATTAGACCTTTGCTAGCTTTTCCCGAATAAGCACGGGAAAATACATTCATTCATTTAATTACTTATATTTACATGGAACACGTGAAATGTTTGTACATCTCATCAAATTAGATGTTCGTATTGCCCTCTGTCTTATTGGCTACAGAAGGGCATTCGCAGGATGATGTTGGCGAGCACTTTCTACATCATCTCGAACGAAATTTGTCTACATTCTTTCACAAGGTTCTCTTTCAGTTCTTCCTGGATTTTAAGTTTTGTTCTATAATCTCTGCACTCTAAGCATTCCCATAGGAAAAAGTCCAGGGTTTTCAAATCCGGTGATCGCTCAGGCCATCCTATCGGTCACCCGCGACCTATAAAACCATCCACCGAATGTCACGCCCAGGTAGGTAAGAACGGTCTACGCTGAATGTGCAGGTACGCCATCCTGGTGCCACCAACTGTTATTGATTAGCCCTTCCGACTGCAGCTGCAGAATCAAGCTGCGCTGCAACATTTTTAAGTACGAGGATGCTAAGAAATAACAAACTTTAATGTTAAACAGTAAACTACCGGACACAACCTGCAAAAGAAAAAGGGACAAATGTGTGTTCGACTGATCAACCCAGCGCAAGCCATGAGCTTCGCTCTATGTTGCACACGTGAAAAGCTGCGTTACCGTGGGTTTGTTGTTGCCTAAACATGTTGCGAATTTTGGCCATGCAAGGGGAAAAGGGCCCTCCTCGGTGAACAAAATGGTATGCATATTCGAACTGTTTGACTATAAACGGGCAATTTCCAAGCGCTTTTGCGGATCGAATTTGTGCAAGACTTGCATCTGAAGAGCACTGCGCGGTAGGAATGCTTTTCCTTAATTATTCTATTCACAGCATACGCTGTGGTTTCGCAATATTGTACGAGCTGCCGCATTCCGTGATGCCAATTACTGCATACCTCCTGTGCTAATGCGCTAGCTGATACTTCATCCGTGGCGATGAGGGGCCGTCCGGTTTGTTTGAGGTTGCAAAAGCTGCTGTTTTCTGTTAATTGCTTTATCACTCGACGAACATTGCGCGTAACGCGGTGCATACTATTTTGGCTCCTCGAGGTTTCCGCCGCATGGGATCCACACTCAACATACTGCAGCAAAATGACCACGCGCTAATGGACCGGCATATTACGTGACTGCGGTTGCTGATGCAACGACGACACGTGTGTACGCTCCTTCTTCATTACTAGCACAGGGAACCACTAACCATCTCATGGAGAACCCATTTTGCTGGGATTTAACCTGCTTGAAGGCCGACTAACGATCGATCGAAGCATGGCACGTGAAGTGCGTTTATATAGTCTCAGTCTAACTAAGTTCTCACAGCGCAACTACGGACGTTCAGTTGGTCTTGCCCTGCGGTCGATCATGACACGTTCAGTGCGGCTGTGGTGTCAGGCTAACGTTCATTTCTTACAGCCAAACCACATGGTCTTGCCCTACAACCCACGCATCAAAGGTCGATTGCGGCTCTTGTGTTTGCTAACGTTCAGCTCCCACAGCCAGGGGCTCAGTGTACCCTGTGATCGTAGGCACACATGTCGCATCTCTGTGTTCCATCTCAGCCCTGCCTGCAAAACAGTTGGCACCATTGGATAGCTATCAATTCAGCGTGCCGGTGTACGTCAGCACCTGAGTGCAGCCGCTCCTAGCTCCGGACCAGATTAATAAAATATCTTGTAGACACCTCTATTTTTTGACAAATGCTGAATGCGTAGGCTGAACTCGCTATCGACTACGTAATTCACTTCTGCTAGACATAGTTGAAACACTACCTTATTACGCTGGACCAACCTCATGGTCGCGCTTCTAAATGAGTCGTCCGAACGCGCCACCATTCATACGAGCAGAACCTGAAACGTTTCCGAATATCCAGCGGGCAGTATCGCAGACTACGTGGCGAATCGATGGTGACATACTTAATTTTACGCAATCCAAATCATGTTTGCCGCTGTTTACTGTAACGGCATTATTACTAAACATAGATACCACTCCTTGAAATTAGCAGAACAGTGCAGCCGTCTGGCATGCCGTTGAAATTTCTTTTCCATTCGTGTGTGTTATACCTGTACACTCTAACCGAATCGGTTATTTCTGCATCCACGATAGCTACGTTTAAAAGTCAGTTAGATGACGCACTCCGTGGCCTAAATTTTGTCACTTAACCGTACTCTTCCTCCCGTGAAATACCTTTCATTTACTTTTTTCGTTTATCGAAGCTATGAAAACAATTAGGTTGCAGTGCTACTACATTACATACAGCCAGTTCATTCCTTTTGACAGTAGAATTACTACTTATATTTTTCATTAACGTTTTTGGATAACCCGCTAGACCACCCAACTGGTCTCGTAAAGCAGTATTTCTTAACCCGAATAAAAGCGCTGTTCATTGTTCAAATGTATATTCTGACCAGCAAATAGTATATTTGCTTCATGACCTCAACCGAGTCAATGTGCTTATATGTTGTGAGTACCTCCCACATCAATGCGTGACACTTCTGTGTTTCCTATGAGAATACGACATCCATTAGCCACCAAATTCCAACCCATGAAGAAATAGATCTACCCTGTTGTGGTTGCACTGTGCACTTCACCTGGTTCATCAGAAAACCACACAAATCTATCAGCAAATCCTGGGCTCTGGTAAAATGTGTACCGTGTTTCGAATGAAAGCGTTTTGATATACGCTATATTTTTCTTGGATAATATATGGGGGAAAGTAATCCCACCATTATGTGAGCAACAAACCCATACGATGGGTAATGTAAGTACCTCATTGATTGGATATATCGGAGTGAAGAGTAAGTCATGACATAGGATCAAGTGCTCCGATTTAAATGATGAAACAAAACTAGTTTTTAATTAGGCAGGCTTCCTTAATGCCCAGTCCTAGTGACACAGATTTCTAGTCGCTAAGCGCATCCAAATGATCCCCAAACTAAGAGAATTATCGACACTGCAGTTCACTCCTTTACAGCTATGTTTCGCGGCCAATGATCAATAGTATATAGCGGAGAAAAATCGTTGACGTTAAACCTGTCCTGCATGGTGATGAGTGAGGGTACTCCAAAGAAAAAGAGGACTATAAACAGCGTAATTAAAAAAACAAAGGTAGCTAGGCAAATTCTCTTTGTATCAATAATTCTCAGTTAGTTTTATGCAGCTTTAAATATCCCCGCCGTTGATCTTCCTAAAAAACATGATGTGGGTTGATGCGGTTTGTATTCTTAATATGCATATTGTTCATTGGTGTTGTATAATGTGGTGTACAATGAACAGCACAATCTTGACACGATCTTCGAACACAGATAATGTAGAAGTTAAAACAACTAGTACTGGGAATGAATTCTGTAAGTGACAAAAATGCAGCGAGAAGAAATTCCGCTTATAGTCTAGCCAGCAGTATTGTGCTAACAGTTTCAGACCGTGGCCTCAATCTGCTATCATGGCTGGCCTATGGTAGTTAACAGGAAGAGTGGTTATGGCTGCTTCAAATCCGGTAAATCATGGTAAAGTCACCAGCCAAAAGCAGACAGCGTTCACTGCAACTCCCAAAAATGCTAACACGGTGTTCGTAAGGTATTTGACATAGACCTTTGAGTTATTTGAATGAAAAACTTTGTGCATTTCCCAAGTCAGTGAGATTTCCCTCTATCTTGGCTATTATGTTTGAATCGCAAATACCACCGTGAGGTCGCAAGCATGCGGAAAGCCGTTTGGAGTAAATTGAAAAGTCGAATTAACTAAAAGCTCTGTTAAACAGCCCCAAGTTTCGGATGCCGTTTGGATGCTAGTACAGTGTGCTCTGTGCATCCATCATCTTTCTGGACCAGGTTGCTGATCAGTAGACAAGTAAAAAGTTCCTCATATAATTAAGTGCACGGTAATGTCATAAACGGAAATAATTTCTTTTTCATTTGTATCCTTTCATCCACAACACACGTATTCCTATAGCAACGCTCGTCGGCGGAATTAGCGGGATCATCAAATGGTATAGATCAATTCATCACCAAGTTACCATACATAACAGCAACAGAAGACACCACTTATCAAATCGCAATATTACGGGTAAGTATTAAGTAACGCGGATAGTATGATTTTGGTTCACTTAGGAAGAGACACTCTGGTATTTACGGCCCTTACTATGCTTCTGACAATGCCATTCATTTCAGTTTGTCATATGCAAGTTGGTCCGCTAAATCCGTTCGGAATCTTATGTGAAGGAATGGTCACAATGATCAGACCTTTTTGCTTTGTCATAAACAACATTAGCTGATACATGTCGAGCAGTTGCTGCAATTAAGCACCATTGTTACTTAATTATGCTGACGTTTCCACAGAGATTCCGCTGTTAATGGAAAGGAACCAGTCATGGTAATTCCCGGAGCCAAAGTGCACGGCCACGTATGTCGCCCGGATGGTCGATACAGTGAGGTCGTTAAAGCAAGGCCATTATATTGCAGCATGTATCATAGTCAACCATTGAAAACTGAATCGCTCGTAAGCTACAAGCATGTAGCTAATCAAACATAACACGGCTTTTCTGCTACTTTGTTCAATTTGGTGGCCGGAAATAAATCACACACGAATGTAGCGCACAGCCGAAACCGTACACGTAGAAAGCAGCGCACACGGAATTTTGTTAGGTCAATCGTTTTACATATACCTGACTGCCTTACATGTCAAAGCCTTCGTGCTTCGTTCAGAATACTCACCAAACAGGGCAAATTTCGCCTACTTCAGTTCGGCAAGCATTACTCGTACAATCAAATACTGTACCTTGATTGCATAGTTGAGAATTTGTATGGGATATTCACACTTATTTCAACATGAATGCACAATTAATAGTGATTTACGTGACACATTAATGTGAAAGCAACTTATAGCATCTGGCTCGAAGATCAGACTTGTGGAAAAGAATTATGATTAGAAACCCCATTTATTGGGCGCGTACAAGTCTATCCCGCTATATAACGGCACTGGTGAACTGTACTGACTAGGAAAGTGGAAATATCAACGCGTATCGAATAGGTACGACGGATCCGACCGTGTGTGCGTTTTTCGGTTCAACCAAACGACTTCACTCTACAGTCAAGATTTCTCATCGGTCGTTTATCTATTCATTGAGAGAAGTGTTTTACACCTGTAATCAAGCAGGGCAGGGAAATCCCCAGTGTGCTACATATTTTTCATGTCAGCGTTTTCCCGTGGGGGAATTCTTCCAAGTAAAGTAGTATTGGTCAGATATTGGCAATCGAAAGTCATGGGCTGTGGCCACGATACCATCTTACCCGGACGCAGTCACCAAACTCACCGAGGTAAGGCAAGATCATCCATGATCCCAGCCTGTTCACATCAAGGGCACTGGAGCCGCCAAATCACTGACTTCAGCAAACTGCATTATACAAGGATTGCTCTGACTGTTGACTATTTTGAATGAATCACAAGGGCTTTGACATCTAGGGCACTCGGGTATATATTAAGCGATCGAACTAGCATAACTACGTATGCACAGCTTTTCCGCATGCGCAATTTTCCGTGCGCTTACCTGTCCGCGTGCACATAATTCGTGCGCGCTTTTGGCTGTGCACAGTTGTTGTGTGATTATTTTGCTTGTGCGCATTAATCAAAGAATCGTTTCAAGTACCTTAGCGAGATTTGTCGGCATTTGTGGAAGTTTATCGGTCAGTACGCAGCGTAAGTGCCCCTTTGCATATTAGATCAGTCACATGGTACCAAATACAGGAGCAAACAACGTAATTTACAAGTTTGATGTCTGTCGACAATATTGAGTATGTATACCAGCACAAAGTGATTTGGTGTGAAACATAGTATCTATCATGCGCGGTCGCCTTCGACACTTTATGCACATTTACTTGGAGGAAAATTGTTTTGAAAACTAAATCATTAGTTCATACTTTACAAATGACCGGAAGGTATCTGCAATCTAAAAGCAGGTAGACTATTTTCCACATACTAACATAACATTGTACACCAAAAAGACTATTTGCGATGTCAGAAAGTTAATGAGGCATGTGCATTTGCATTATTTGCATTATTTAATACCACGAGAACTAATGGAAACATAGTAAATGTTTCGTTAAAACTATTTCTTCTGAGCACCGTACTGCGTGTTTTGCGACGTAACCAGGTCGATGCAACTTTCCAGCGTTGCTTGTTGACCTAGGTGTATTTAGTTACAGACATCATGTCAGGCTGACAGAGCCCGAACTGGTTACGACAAATTGCTGGAGCGATGTATATTTGACGTATGCTAAGTAAGGAAATGCACAGTACTTTTGGTAATACTTCAGTGCTTAGTTAAGTTATACGGTTGTTATTAGGTGCTGGGCTACAATCCTGCATTTCCGCTTGCATTATTGCCTACTTTGCATCATTTTATCCCCGTTAATTCAGCTCGTGCCTGGCGAGAGGAATCAAGTCACTTGGTTGACGACCCACCCAATCCAAGTGCATGACTTGCTGCATATTAGCAATAAAAGCATATTCTTTACAGGCACTGTTCAGCCAGCCACTAGGCACTTGTACAGGTAGGTTTTCGTGATATAAGCGTTTTATTTGTGAACATAAATGAAAAATAGGTTTGCTACATAACATCCAAATGAAACCGTCTAATCAAACGTACCTTGCAAACATGTATTTCATGCACAGACCACCTCAACATTTTTGAACCCACTTCGTCAAGTACAACACATATGGAACGAGTACGAACTAGGTTAAATCAATGCTTCAGTAATATTGTCAACTCTGGTAAAATATCCGATAACTATATATAAGTAAGCCACGCAAAAGTTGCACCAGCATATAGCGGCATACAAGTATGCGATTTGTTTTGAGGTTCTTTACCATGTTAGCTCATAATTTCCATGGCGAATCTCTTGGATACAACTGCTTCGCAGCAGAATTTTAGTGTAAATAACAAAATAAATCAACTTTATTTTTGTTCGTGTAGTCAAATCTAAGAAAGTCGATCAGCCTGAACATCCATTTAATTGGACAACCCTGAAATGAGGTGGATGCTAGTTAAATCGCCCGACAATTTTGAGTACATACAGGCCATCACTTTATACCCCTGTAATTCAACTGTATGTCATCAGAACCGCATGTGATTTTGTATCAGATCACGGTGGTGTTCGCCAGCTTAAACACGCACTGGAATGGTGCGAGTATTTCTTATTTCGGGTTATTAAAATTACAACACTTGTCTGAACCCAAATTACCTCACTCATTGGGCAGATTCTATTGTAAGGTGTGTACATTCAATATACTGGCTAGTGTATTGTAGACATTCGAGAGATCTGTAAAAATCCATCTACAACCGTTTTCATAACGACCGCCTAACCTGAGTCTTTTATTTGTCCCACAAAACAGGTTAGATCTCCTTCCTAATTGGACAGTCTGGTGCCTTACGTGTGTGGAACTGAATAGCCGTTTGACTAGTTTGTTGCCAGTGAACGATTTAAACATGATGAGAATAGTACCTGCAGAGAAGGTAAACCTGACTGGTGGCCTTTTGCGCAGTGCTGCACGGAACGCCACCTTTCGAACTATCACTCGTGTTGAGCTCTCCACCAGTGGCGTATGCTTTACACTGCAATGGGATACTGGAAATGAGATATTCGGAGCATCCGGTGTAAAAGAAGCGCCCACTCGTATGGTGATCAATCAGCTCACCCGAATCGGCCATGAAGCATCTGAATATGATGACTCCAGGTTTGAAGCGAGTGCACGATTTGATCCAGATTCGGGCGTTAGCTTGTGGTGCCAAATGGATAATAAAAATGGTAAGATTTCTAACAATTTATCATTGCTTTTATTTACTCCAATTAGTTATATTTTTCTCTGAGCTAGATATTTGCAATGGCAGATGATCGGGATGTGTGTTAGTAATTTTCATAAAAGATACTCCCTTTTCTGAGTCTTTCCATTAAAATATCATACTTCGTCTCGGAAAAGGTCCGAGTGGATATATTAAGAAGGAATATGACCCTGATTGAAGGTGCGATTGGTCACCATGGGTGTAATCTACTAGAGCACCAGTAGCAATATTCCCAGTGTTGAAAAGGTACGCCTACTTCACATTTACAGTGAACACCAGGAAGCCCTAAATGCCATGAAGAAGAAACAGCGGGTAGTTTTCGAATCGGCCGCACGAATTCAAAGTAAGCTAAATATTTGTCAACAGCATACTTACAGGAAAACGAGCTAATTTGTTCTCAAAGATCCAAATGGCATTTTTCCACCATGAAAACATCGGCCAGTAATCTACTTCTTCAAGTAACTAATAAAAGCTAAATTGTGAGCAACACATTGGCGATTGTCGGCAAATAAACCCATTCATGATAAGCAGTCTACATGCAAGATGTGATAATGATGAGAATAGAAGTGGAAAGGATTTCGATACCGAAAATGTTTACTAACTTGAAAGTACGGTGCTTTTAAAGAGTACAAAACGGTTTATACGCAGTCAGCGGAGCGATCCTCTTACCCAACATTAGGATGATATTCCTATCAGCCAGAGAAGCCAGAATATTATGAAGGTCAGCCACTTGACAAGGAACCTGATATTAATTAACACCGCGAATGCAGCAACTTATCTGTCTAAGAGAAATGGAGTATGGTACCTGAGTAACAACAATAAAACCAGCATAAACTCTCAAAAGCAAGTCATGGACAAGCTTTTGAGGATTTACCCGTCCGAATAATATCCATGAGACCGAACAGATTGTAGTATTTGAGCAAGTAACAAATACTATGCGACAGCCAGTGGCAAGCAATGACCATGTATCAATTTGTATCTTGGAGCTCCGGTTACATGATCTACACATGGTTACAACTTAATTAATTTGCATTCTAACCGGCTTTTCTGGAAACGTGTTTAACGAACATTTCCTGTGTTATTCGGATTAGATTGACGCAAACACAACTGCTAGCACAACACATTCGAGGCGGGATAAGGAAAAATATCCTACGGAGTTTATCCGATAAATTAGCGGCAACTGTATTAATAAAATTAGCGTTGGCAGTCAACTTTTCGTTTCGTGTCAGTTACTGTTTTTACAATAGTAGCAACCAGCTTCTTTGAATTTAAAGGTATTGCATCTCATCCCTTGAACTTTCAAGGAGTCAAAATGTTGGAACGCATAATGAATGCATAACATTATTATTCAGTAAATTCATAATTGTCACTCCCAATCCACAGGCTTAGGCTAGTCTAGAAAATCACTAGACGCTGGCGTTTCGACCTTCTGCATCTCCTCAGTCGTGCGCCTCCCAGCGGACCCCTGCAGGCTTCCAGCCATCATGACTTCAGAATGCCAGCAGCTAATGCTACTTCGCCATTGGTGACAGCCGCGGATCTGCGTATTTGACGGTGAATTATGATATAGACCGGCTCGTCAGCACTATAAAATATGTCCCTATAGCTTCCAACTCATATGTTGTACATGGGTAACGAGCTTTATAGGCTCAAGTTCATCCCCACAAGCGTGTGACGTGGGTGCTCCTGGTTCATTTGGATTATTCCCCTCTATGCTCTCTCCATCTTCTCGCAGCGTTGTCACTGTACGCTCGTTCGAACCGCATTTACCAGCCCTACACAGTGATCCATCATACGTGGAAATATCTTCCACGATTAGAGGCTGCGTCATCACTAACTGTTTTCAATGTCACCCGGGATTAAGCGCAATCGTAAAACTCAATCACATTGAGCCGATTGCCTTCTGTGTGACACCATTCGATACAGAATTCTCGAGGCAGACCGAAAAGCCTAAGCTTATTCCGATCCAGTGTTTCTCAACATAGCTGTGAAAGAATTTGTGATCTGTCGATCTGTGTTCAGCGCTCTATTCAGGTTCCAGTCACTCGCCATTTCCCTGTGACCTTGTCAACCAGTGCGGCTGCATAACACATCACACGGACGCGCGACCACGCCGACCGCTAATTTGACCTTACAAACACCACGCTCGCCAGACCGATGTGCGTTGCTCTCAAAGCTGTAAAAGTACAGAACGCTAACCAACCCACCGGGTCAGGTAACGACACCAAGTTGTGTGGCAGAAATGCGAAACAGAAGAGGCTTCAAGCGAAACGCATTTGCGGGTTTGGAGATTGTCATCCAGTAGTTGTAAAAATCGGTCTGGCTTGTTCGCACTGTTTGGAGTGGTATCATACGAAATGTGCCAATGTGTCCCAACAACAGTTACGGGAGGGAAATGGCTCGCAAGATGCATTTTGGTTCTGTATTGCGTGTTCCACCATCCCCCTCGTTAAGTGCTTGCTTATTCTAGCTCCGAAATGCGACCGGTTAACCGCAGAAACAGAGCAGAGGATAAACAGTAAGAGTACTTAAATGGAAATGAGTATGAACCACAGAAGCGTAGAGGATTCTAAGCAACGAGACGCTGAACAATCCGTTTCCCCCGAACCGCAATCAGCCATGTCGCCATCTCCTTTGTCTTCTCCAACTTTGGTAGTACGCCGGGCGAAAACAGACTATACCTACGAGAGTCAAACAGTACTCGTGACAACGAAAATCAGGCACCACTCAATACGTCTGGTTATGCAAATTCCACTAGACCTGACATCTAACATTAACAAGGATGAAGCAGCCGAACTCCAACCCTCGGTACCTGTAGCTCAAATATCTATTGTCGATACTAAGCCTCCCAGAACATAAGTTGCCTACGCAGAGATTGCTGCAAAAGTCTACCGAGAGGCCGCCGTTGCGGCCTCTTCCATTGTAAACACCGTTAACGCGAATGGAGGGACAAACAGCAAACAATTAACACTTGTCAGCAGTTCAGGACAAAAGAGTACCATACGTTGTAGATCAACGGAAAAGGGATCCAACAACAGTGCCCCGACTGCTGTATGCTCAAAGTCCCTAAATCTACCGTCATCACATTGCGAGATAAGTTATCGGACGACTAAGACCAATAGAACTCATTGTGCATGCAGATTAGTATCAAAGCCAAGCCCATCAACTTATTACGAATTACTCGTCATCCGAACTCGCCACCCTATGGCAAACCCAGACTTATTCGAGTAAAGCTAGGTTCACCCACTGAGGTAGAAAACGTTTTGCTCTCCGAAAGCGCGCTGAAACACGGATCCTGTGGGATACGTATCTATCCTGATGTCCCTTGGAGCGTGCGGCAATCAAAAAGAAACACCGAAGAAGGGCACAGCAAGCAAGACCGCCTAAACGTAATCTTCATACATGGCGTGCCAGAACATCCTTCTAACTATGTTCAAGAGACTGGCAAGCACGATATATATCAGTGGCGGTTCATTTGTGAAAAACTTTCTTTGGATAATATTGTGGCATTATCGCTCACCAGGATAACTCTCTCATCAAATTATAGCGGATGCGGCCCTAGAATCCTAAAACTTCTGGTTCAGTCAGATCGACAAGCTAAGGATGTTTTAAATCGATGGCGGAAAAATTGGTAACATCTTCCTTCTGAAATTCGGTTAAAGGTTGCAAACGCTTTACACAGCTCAAGTATTAAAGCAACTGAAGCAACAAGCAAACCGACGAAGGTACAGAAGCGTAACTTTACTGCTGCTTTAATTGGCTCTGACGTAGGACTAAACGAAGCTTGGGACGCACCTTGGCCGAATCAATTTGTAAACGAGGTATCTTTATCCCATCAAAAAAACGAGTAGCTGCCGACCACCCTTCAGTCGGCCTTCTCCCACACGTGACAGCTTCACCCCTCTGTGGACTCCTAGAGACCGATAAACTGGCCTCCTGGTATACGAATGCTCCGGGTCATTCTAACAAACTGGCCGAACTGAAAGATCGCCGAGCTTCCAGGTCATATGATATCATTGGTATCTCCGAAACGTGGTTGCACACGGGAATGACGGACGCCGAAGTGTCGCTACCGGGCATGTCGCTGATACTGAACAACAAGCTCACAAAAGGAGGAGGAGTAATCCTGTGTTACCGAAACAACTCAAAGTGCGAAGCCATGAAGAATTTAGACTCGCAGTTCCTCGACTGTCTTTGATACCGGTTGCAGTTAAAAGGTAGGGACCCTTGCCTTATTGTCCTGGTTTACTGCGCCCCTAACTCAACACCCGAAACCGTCAACCACCTAGCAGCGGATTTAAGATGCAGTTTACAAGGAAAGTACACTCACATTTTTATCATGGGCGATTTCAACGTGCATTGTTTAGAAACTCCCGCCACGATCGGAGAACAATTCAAAGCCGACCTACAAGATCTAGTAACTACTGTGCGTATTTACAATCACATCACTTTACTCACTCAGTTCAGAACTGGTAACAGGCAATCTGTGCTGGATCTTGTGCGTATCAACAAGGAGCATATGATTGATGCGTTGGTTTTAGACTGCCCGTTGGGTCGCAATGATCACGCAGTCATCAGTTTCAACTTCGTCTGCTATGCAGACTTTCTGAATGAGAACGATGAGACTGTGCAAAACATCACAAGCTACCATCGATTAGCCCAGATTGTCAGCGCCACAACTTGGTCGTTCCTCGAAGAAGAAGCCCCGGAAGTCGCCTGGCTAGAGTTCGTCAAAAATTCAGTCATCTGATTGCAGAGGCTTCAGAGATAAAAGTTGCTATATATGAAAATCAATTTCTTACATTAGGAGCAGAACTCGAAAACGGATGACAGTACGCAACGCAGCATGGCGAGTGTGCAGAGAAGCTCCAGCACCAGAGACATGGGACAACTACGTAGCCCAACGTAACCACTGCAATCAAGTGTTAAGAAGATAAAGCCGCCTATCAGCAGAGCATCGCAAAA